AGAGGGATTTTAGTAAGCCTCTGATTCTAATAATTGTTGGCCCTTATTTTTATTGGATGTTTCTATTAATTAGTGATTCAACTCCAAATACTAAATCATATTTTTGGGAAAAAGTTTTAATTACGTAATCCTCCATTTTAAAGAATTTCCTTGACTATTTCGACTACCTAGCTAAAAAATCTTAGAATATTTTGGTCACATTTATTTTAAAGAATGCTTAATGATCTATAAGTATACGAATATGCTTGGTTTTACTTATGTATATAAGTTATAAGATGCTTAGTTGGAGTACTAATTACCCATTCAAGACTCATTTGTGTTTTTATTATGATAATGTGTACCTCTTGGTTATCATACCTCCTCTATCCACGGCTTTTTCAACTCTAGGTAGCAGCTACCATTATCAAAGGAAACATTTTCTACACGACTTCATGAAATTAATAATTGCTATATATTTAACCTTTAGAAAATATTTTAAACTCATGTAATCTTATCCTAACGTTTTCCAGGATATAATTAACGCTATTGAACACCTCTTATTAATAAATGATGATTGCGATTATTAATGTTATACATCTGGCACTTTATAAAATCTGAAGATGTATATACATGCAAATTTATTCGTTGGTATACTCCTTTAAGAATTGAAACTTCTAAGCGTCGTAATAAGGATAGAAACACAGCCTTTTTCTCTATTTTGTTACTACTTCACATACGTAAGCTTAATAAAACTTAAGTAGTGCTGATAGATTTACCCCATGCTCAAATGTTAGTATTCGTTCTATCCTATCTTTATCCTAAGGTTGGAGTCAATATTAGACTGAAATAGCTCGCTCCCCGCACGGACAGAGCGCTATTTTTAGTTTTACCTATTTAAGGAGGCTTCGACTATACACAAGACCATATCATCTTGTTAAGCTGGTTAAGCTTGACGAAGGCGTCGCTAATTTCTCTACATATTTCATTTAAATAGGCAAACATCTACGGCTTGATCGTCCTTTACTCTTCATTCTTCTTTGAGCCGGGTATTCGTAAGCTACGCTACCCTGTTGTTCAAGCTGATGGTTCTTTAACCACTGTCACTGTCTCGATGCTCGATGATGTGGTACGAGCACCCACCTCGCACCCCTTAGCTGAGCCAGTGGCTACTGATACGATAACATCAAACAACGGACATGTAATTGGCCAAGGCTCATCGACTTCTCTTACTCGCACCATCGGCCTCAGGGAGGACTTTGAACTTTACAAAGCCAACACCCTTGCAGCATTCGACTATCTTGCTGACCTGGCCCACGGCGATGATTTATTGCGAGTCACTTTGCTGGCAGTCAAACTCTTTGCTGAGGACGCTCTACCTCATGAGATGCGAGGGCTCGTCGGTGCCGCGCGGCAGGCCTACCTCGTCTTTCTCTGGCACTACTTGCGTTGGCGCTGCGGACCAAGGCGCTTGCGTCAGGCTACTGAACTTTATGCCAGGCTTCTGATCGCTTTCGTGGACCTGCGAACACTCGAGCTGCGTATGACGGAGTTTGCTAAGCTGCTTAGCCTGGAGGGATTGAGCCCGCTAATGCGCGAAGTCTGCAGCCAGCGGGCTGCTGCGACGGGAAGTAGTGCTACTTCGAGGGGATAAATGATTATCACTACAGTACCAAGCGCCACAAGGGCCTCTCCTGGATATTTTGCGGAAGCCGGCTTTTTTAATGACACATTCGCTTTCCATTTTCTGTTTCCTTTCTATAGTTGTGATAGACTTTTTCCCTTCAAATTAACTCGGAAATCCACTGCTTTATCTACTCTTCATTATCGCCGACAAACAGGCTGGCCTCGATATACCTACTATGACTGCACACTCCAAACAAGTACCATTTTACGGTCCAAATTATGCAAGTAAAGTGCTGATCCACCATCTCCAGCCGACTTCAGCACTCTGCTGGTATTGTATTCATCGCATGAGTGACTCCTTTTTGCTATTGTGATAAAGCATCGCTCTTGGTGGCACCCTCTGCGTCACCAGTGGAGAAAGTAACTAGTTCTTTTCTACTTTAGCGCCAATGAGTGTAAATACTTCTTGTCCTGTTCCTTGTAAATCTACCCTCTTCGTTTGTTTCATAATATAAGTCATTCTTCGTTCTAATCGTATTTCAGTAAAGGTATATCATGAGCAGGTCTTTTTGTTTTTATGGGAATTTAGATATCGGTATGCCTACGAACGATATGCTAGGAAGAATGGTAATGATGGGATCGATAGGTGCAAGATTTGTGTCAATTAGACTGCAGTATTATAATTAGGAGCCCAATTCTATCTGAATCGAAACAAATTCGAGAGGAAATGATTGGCACTTGAGTTAGAGATCATATCAAATTAAAGCGTCGTGACG